GGTGTTGTTGTTGTTGTATCAATCGGCAAATCCCTTGCCTCGGAAGATCAAAACTATACACACTCGATCGTATGTATATATATCTATGAAAATAATATTAACATATTTCCGTGGCGATTAATCCATTAAATCTCTAATTTATTAATCCCCATGTAAGAATTGTTACGTTACGTTATTTTACGCTGCGATAGAGTGCAGCATTGCCTATTGATCGTGGGGTCGGAATTGAAATAGAAAAAGGATCAATCGCGGGTAGGTCGATCGATAAGGATAGCCCCATCGGGAATGAGAATGAGAATGAGAAAGGCCAGTGTGGGAGTGGCATCCGAGAGAGACAGAGAGAGAGAGAGAGAGAGAGAGAGAGAGGGAGAGAGAGAGGGGGGGGGACGTAGCTGCCGGTGGGAGAAAGATGTTATTCGAGATGACTCTCATCCGAGAGAAGCAATAACACAGCGCACTCTCTGTGTGGAAACGTAAATTTTCAGGCCAGGATTTAAAAGAGAGAGACGTTTATCTATAGAGATGATATACTCGGCTTACAATTAGTATAAATGGCCAATACGATCAGCGAATTGAGAAGACCAGAGGCTGAGGCTTTCGGCCCTTTCTTCTTCATTCCCTCCTGCGAATCATCCTGAGAACTCAAAATTTAATTTCAACAGGAAAAAAAGTGAGTGCGCTATTCCGAAGCAGTTTCGCGTTTCTACGTGGATGCCTGTCGATACAAATCACAGCCGACTTTGAGCGTTTCTCTCCTCGGGCGAGGACAGCTAGCTCCTGCATCGGCCAGTTCAGCGTCCAGCTCCCAATTCTCGAAGGCCGATTTTTTTTTTTTTTTTTTTTTCATGGACGGAGGATCCAACTGTCAAACTGTCGCGGAATCGTCGATTCGCCGAGATGCATTGACAACGAACGTACTCGGGGATGTCAAACGTCTGTCTTTCGCTGCAGCTTCGACTATTTAATTTTCTTCCTATAGATCCTTCGATCCCCGTTCTATTTCCTTCTCGTTGCCTCTTCGTCACTGTGGCACACTCTTTGTAAATGAGAGACAAGGAATGAGAATTCTATTTGGAGTTGGCTTCCAGCAGTGACAATTGGTGATTCTTCTGAAGGGAGACTGGATACGGGCCTGGATACGGGATGACTATATATTATAGATTATAATACGTGCACAGTTCTTCTGCTGGCTAGGAAATACAATGGACCTGAAGTGTGCTGCGAAAAAAAAAGTACAATGCAGCAAAGAGAAAGGAGAAAAAAGAAGAGGACGGAAGAAGAAAGATAAGGCAAAGCGTTGTCTCTCGAAAGAATTCAAAGATTGCGAACAGAAGGAGCAACGAAAGAATGGAGGAGCGGCGAAACGGAGCAACAGGTAGGTAGGTAGGTATAAGAGAATCAACAGGTTGTTTCGCATGCCTGCCTGCCTGCCTGCCTGCCTGCCTGCCTGCCTGGTTGGTTGGTCGGTTGGTTGGTTGCCTGAGTTAGCCGTGGACTAGTACAGCCTCGCCAGCCTACCCTCTCTCTCTCACTCTCTCTCTCTCTCTAGCCTGCACTCACCTTCTATACCGCTCTCATTCACGCACATGTATTTTAATGTGCATGCTCACTGTCTCGAGTCCGGATTTAAACCAGCAATAAAATTTGATAGACGGGCCTCCACCCACAATGATTCTCATACAGCTCTGATTCTGAAGGACCGTCGATGGATTCTGCGCCAAGTGCAATCCGTCATTTGTATCATCAACAGTTTATCAAGGTTCAAGAGTTACGATAATGTGAAGGAAAACTCGGCATTTCAATAAAATGAAGAAATGAAAAGACGAAGTAACGGAAAGAGCCTGACTTGCATGAGTATACTCGGGGGGTCAAACGGGGATCAGGCACCGCCTCCTGCGATCAGTTGGCGCTTCTCTCTGGTGCACAATAAGACGTCTTTGCAACGTCAGCAACAAAAACTCTCCGTGACTTGCGGAAGGCAAAAGAAGGCAAAGGAAGGCAAAAGAAGGCGAAGGCGTCACAAAAACTACATTGTTCTCCGATAAACCAACAGAGCGCGGATTGCGTAGCCGGACTCGTCGCGCTGATAATTCAGAGAGCTCAGAGAGAGTCAAAAGGGCCACGAGGTAAGACGTGGTAAGACGAGGTAAGACGCTGGAGAAAGGCCTGGCCAAAGGCCTGGTCAAAGAAGCTAAGGAGAGTGACGTGGCTACGAAGAAGCCTAACGAATCACAGCTGGAAATTATCTTTGGACATTGGTGACATGTTCGTGGAGAAGGGCGAATGATGACGGGAATGATGTACAGGAGGAAAGGAGGCAGAGGAGCGAGGGAGAAGGAAAGCAAGAGGGCTATATAGGTGCGAATGAGGCGTCCCTGGGCCAGTGGTCCGCCTGGGAAAAGAATAGAAGAGTAGAAGAATAGTAGAATAGAAGAATAGAAGAATAGAAGAATAAAGGATTAGAAGAAAGGAAGGCATACAGATTTTATGATTTATGTGGATTAAGGGTAGCCACGCTCGACTCCCACCTTCGCGCTTACAATTAAAACGTTAACCCTTCAGAAGCTGACACTTGCGAGACTGTAGCGTCTTTGAACGCAACTTTCAAGGCTCCAGGAGGAGAATCCTCGCAAATTGCTAATAGGTCAATACGCTGATGCTTTGCAGCATTCGATTATTATAATGTACCTTCTGGGCAGATGCATTCGTAGTCCAGCTGGTCCACCTCACGGCAGGAACCCCCATTGTGACATGGCGACGGGTCACAAGGGATGTACTCGTTCTCGCAGTTCTGACCAGTATATCCGCTGGTACACATGCATCTGAAAATTTCATAAAATCGTTTTTAACGAGAAAACAAAAGTTATTCGTTTCTTTATCAATCTACGATTTGCAGCGATAAGCGCTAAATCCAAGTCCGCTTCTATCAATTATTGGCATTTCCCGAAGATAATAAAATGAAGGAAGAATAGCACAAGTCGGATCTTCGAAAAGGATTATCCTTCGGCTAATTCTGATACATTCTAGTTCCATCCAATAGCGGAATATTTTTATTCATTGAGAGACGAGAACAAATCGATAGAAAGTATCACTGGTGTATCTCATCGTCAGTATAAAAAAAAAAAAAAAAAACATTTCAAAGCTAACAAGTATTTAAAGATGCCAATGAGGAATAGAGTCCCCTTTACCCTGGTACTGGGTGACAAGCCTATATTATTAGACGTACCCATAAATAATGTCGCTTTTAAATCTGTTCAATAATTTAAAAAAAAAATTCACATTGCATATGGATAGCCCTAATACGGGTGGGCCTTTCTATCGCGCTTGTGTTCACGATTCCCACACCTTTCCCGCTTTCACAGCAATTCTTTAATAGGTGGAAAAAAAGGCAAAACAAAATGTTCAAACTGACTTTCCGATAGATACCAATTATTTTCAAGCTTTCTTTGCGCAAAATATTACAATCTACGGAAGTATACCTCGTCGAAGTTGCAGTTAATGAGATCACCAGGAGCACGTTCCTGAGATTCATTTTCTTGGAGATTCTGATTATCTGCGAAACAGTCGGCAAGGCAGCCTCTCTTCATATTTGAATATTTTAAATTTGTAGAAATCTATTTTTGCTATCATCCATTCCTTCTTCCGTCATCGGCGTGTTCTTAAATTCAAATTTCTCCACTCTATCGGATCGTGCAGTTTTTTTTCCTTGAAGGAGCAGCAAAGAGACGAAAGTATAAAAATTGCTAATAGAGAACATCCGACGAAACGAGAATCAGCAGCGTCCCCTGCTCGGAATGTTTTCAAGATTTCCAGCCAGGGACGTTGTTTCTTCGACGCGAACTCTTTACGCCGGCAACAGACGCGGGCGACAGTTGTCGATGTGACATAATTCAGCAGTAGATACGATTGCACTGTCCTATTTTTTCTTCCGATTCGATTCGACAATCACACTACTTCGGGTTTCGTCCCCGTCTGTTTACACTTTTTCTTCCGTTATTCGTTTCACGTAGCCGTATTTTCATTATTATCAATATTCACATCGGTGTTCACCGTCTACTTAAAATAACTCGTTTTCTTCTATTTATAGGATGGACGATGCACAATTCACTATTATTCACTAATCAACATCTATAGATACGAAATGTCGTCGACGTCACGGAGTACATATTTTAACAGAGCTTGCAGTCAAGTTATATGCACTATTGATTGTCAAACGGATTAAACGCATTAGGAAAACGAGCAACGACAGAGTACCTATAAAGAGGAACAGAAAAACGTATTCAAACGAGAAGGCAGCAGCAGCGTGCTGTAACAAGTTACGGAAGGTTTGCGTGTCGATCGTTCTTTCGAATTGGCTTGAAGCTAGTTGACACTGTTTCTGGAAGCGTAACGAGTTAATTTGGTACGACACTACGAACATATGAGACCGTGAGAGAAGCTTAAAGTCTTCCGCGTTACTGAAATTACGAAGCGATTAAGTACGACCAGTACGACTTTCGAGGAGAACCGCCGTCAAGAACCGGGAGAGCACGTACCGTTCCTGAAGCGCTCACAGGCGACTAGTCTAATCTTCTGAGGATCGCTGCTGCGATGGCGCCACCAGTGCGCAATCCTCCCCACCTTCGAGCTGACGAATGCGCCCTGGCCGGAAAGTCGGCAGGTCGGCGAGAATCCTTATGCTTGCTGATGCTCTTCGTCGGGGAGGATTACAAATTAATTATGAAAGAAATAAACAACGAGCGCTTTTCCACTGGCCACCTTTTCGAGTTTTAATATCGAGTGATTTTACACTCGTTCTTTAAGACGTAGGTATTTAACTGCTGACGAGTGAGAATGGCGAATAACATAGCGAGTGTATGCGCGGCGGTTGTTGTATGTACGTGCATTTGAGCTCCAAGATTAAGAAAAGGACTATGAGAAGAACGTCAGGAAGCAAATCGAAGATGACTTGGATAGGTTCGATAACGAGAATATCGAGAGCTCGGGGTTAAAGAGCAACGGGAACGAGAAGAGAGGCAATGTCTGATAGCGGATTCTGTGGAACATTTTCCTTAGGAATTTCCTCACTTTTAGTAACGAGAATTAAAAATAAAATAGATTTCACGTAAATTCCGAGTCTACCAAAGTCGTTTTCCTTCTGTTGTCTTAAGGGAAAGGATCTTACGACACAACGACGCCAGACCTGACACGCACCTCGCGCAGAACGTGTGCTCGGACAACGTAGCATCGAAAACACAACGAAATTCCCACAGAGTCCATTCTCCTCGTGCACGTAGGAATGATATCTGTCGCTCGAACCAACAGCAGAAACAGGTTTCCCGATTGGCCGAGATGTTTCGTTGCTTTCGAGAAACGACGGTGGTGGTTCAGGTGAAATATCACTACCGGATTTGACCCTGTGTGTCGTCAACTAACTACACAAAGAGTACATATATAGCGGACTGTGGTCGAGAGTCGAGAATCGAGACGCTCACGTGTCTCTGTAGACGCATCCGGACATCCGCAGGCGTGTACGACGGAGAATCAGTGCAGAGGCGCACTAAAGGCGCACGCACACGCGTCCAAAGGAAGAAGAAGCAGCAATCGTGATTGCTCACTCTCCTTGGCCTTTGTATTGCCCCGATGGACGATCGAGCGCTGCCGTCGCGCTTGGCGCACCAACGCGAAGTACGTTAGTAAAGGAAGAAAAAGAAAGGAAACAGGATAGGTATAGGCGACAGGAACGGGAAAATTGGCTGACTTACTTGTAGGAACCGTGGGTGTTGTGGCACGTGCCATGCGTGCATGGATTTGTCTCACATTCGACAATGTCATCGGCACAATTCGGCCCCGTGAATCCGGGTGCGCAGGTGCACCTGTAGTTGTTCTCGAGCGAGTGGCACTCGGCTTCGTTTCTGCAGGGCGACGAGGCGCAATGGTCCTGTCGCTCGCAGTGTTCACCTGAAACAACACGCAGTCTTCATCATCCAGCATCATACAGCATCACACAGCATCCAGCGGAGCAATTCAGATTACATGTATATCCTCCTACGACCTACATATAATTATAATTATGTCAAATCGTTACTCCCCGTACGCAAAACGTGATCTTCCTTCTTCCTCCTTGCGAAGAGCGAGCGAACTAACGAAATATAATATATTAAGGAGGTTACGGATAGTCTAGAGAGGAAAAAGGACAATAGGGAGAACTATTGAGTAGAGCGAGCAGGAGGCGAGGAGACACGCTTCTCTCCCTCATCCGACGTGAGAGACGTGCGCTGGGAGATTTATTTGTCAAGGGCGCGTGTCGATGGTGTCGGTGGTGTCGGAGGAGCGGGGGAAGGAAAGGAAGGAAAGGAAGGAAAGGAAGGAAAGGAAGGAAAGGAAGGGCTGTTCAAGAACTAAAGCCAACTTACCAGTGAAGCCAGGAGCACAGGTGCAGACGTACTCGCGAAGAGACCTGAGATTGCAGGTCGCGCCGTTCAGGCAGGGCGAAGAGTCGCAGGCGTTTTCAATCGGGATCTCGCAGAGGCTGGCGGTGAATCCCACGGGACAGAAACAGGAGAACGAAGGCGTCCCGCCGCCGATGCTCTCTCGCACTCTGCACGATCCGCCATTCTGACAACGGGGTCCCGTATGACAAGGATTCAGATGCTGGCAATACTCTCCCACGTACTTCGAGGTGCAGCTGAAACGGTAACAAACAAGAAGAACAAATTAATTCTCATTCTCTAAAATCAGATCAATCTACAGATGGGTTTCGCGTATGGTCCAGCGTTCCATGGGCATTTTCCACCGTTCTTCGGTTGCAGCTTTAGGACGCATTGGGACTCCGTTATATTACCTAGTCCTCGTGCTTATGGGTCCGTAATAGTGGCTACTGGCTACTTGTTTGTATTTCTATCAGACACACGGAGTCGGTCAGTCCGTTTGTCGATGCCGGCCAATTAATTCTTTGTTAGCAGCCCAGTAGAATATAAGCTGGTCCGACCGTCGGATATCTTGAGCGGCTCGACAATCAAAAGTCGTATTTGCTTCATCTATTAACGCGAGTCTTTCTTTTCTTTTTATCACGAGAAGTCCGTCTATTGCCTTTCTTTGCCTTTCTTCTTCTTCAAGAATACGTACGGAAGAATATGCGCCAACGCACCGATCTCCCACCAAGGATGGCGGGTTTCATTTAATCGAATTATCACAACCGTAAAGAGCTGAACAAAGAATGGAGAATTGAGAATGACACGCACTGGGGGTTGTCAAGGGGGAGAGAGAGAAAGAGAGAAAGAGAGAAAGAGAGAATCATAAGAATCATAAGAATCTTAGGAATCTCCAAGTCATTCGGTTTCAATTCATTTATTGAGATCCAAGAACGTACCTACGTTCGAGAGTAGGGAACAAGAAATCTGCAGAGTTTGTCAGGTAGAGCTAAAATCATTTGGGCAATATGATTTTACGATGCGTATGTGCGCGTCTGGCGAGTAGAGTGGCTGGTTCTCTGTCTCCAGGTGCATCCCGGACCTGTGAATCTTCTCACGAGGCCGCACAGCTTATTTTTCCACTTGGTGGAGCACTCGTTCGCGTAGCTTTTAAAGTTTAGAACTGCCTGGACATGCCTCGAGACTGTTTGTTTTCAAGTGTCGCGGCGGTGCGAAGAAGCGTGACGACGCGGGACGACGCGGGACGACGCGGGACGACGCTGGGGACGTGGCGCTACGCCGCGAGGAATGATTTAGCGCAAGAAAAGGCTGGATAGTTGGGAACACTGTGCGCTGACGGGGGATTTGGTGGAGCACATCCACAGCGGGGGCATCCTATCGACAGGACTGGCGGATTGACCCTATGCTTTCTCAAATTTATTGTCTTTTCCAAAGTTTCGGTAATGGGGAAAATATAGATCGCGCGCTTCTTTGGACAACTGGAAAACTGGAAAACTGAAAAACTAGAATAGTGTACAAATTTCATTGTTCATTTGGATGACTTGGATGACTTGGATGACTTGGATGACTGAGTGATCGACGGTCTGCAATCTGCTCCCCTGCTCATCTTCGTTTTCTTCTCTTGTACGTCAAAGTGCACTACATAATGGGTCCGGTCCTTTTCTCCGCAGGACGAGCCAACGGCTGCTCGTCACGTGTGTCTACGTATCGAGTGGCGAAAAAATCTTCAGGAAAAAGTAGTTCCCCCCTCCCCCTCTTAAAGCAATAAACTTTAGGAGCCGTAAGGCGGATTTTCTTATCTGTTACTCAGACGTTAAACACTTCTCCGGAGGTTACTTGACCTCACGAACTCAAAGTCAATGAGTTATTAACTCTTACTGATATATCAGCCACACTTGACGGTTACGAGAGACGATATATTCAGCCCCGCGAGAAATACTTCTCCTCCATGCTATAGTTGTATGACAGGAGGACAGGAGGACAGGAGGACTTAGTCCTCCTGACTAAGAGCAAAACTGTACTACTGGGCTAGTGGATGTGTGTGTGTATATATATATATATATAGCAGCGTCGCCCTGACAAACGGATCATCGAAAGACACCAACACTCTGTCAGAAAATTCTTTGCAAGTCGAGGATTTCAATTGAATCGTTTCCTTACGTATGTAGGAAACAGCACATGCAACTCAAATAGGAGAAAATAAATGGAACGCTCCCGACTCCCAACTCCCGACTCCCGACTCCCGACTCCCGAGGCTGCTTTTGTCTTATTTCAGCTTTCTGCTAGCGCTGATCGAGTCAGGTTAGGTCCACATAAGGCTTCGAACTGCGTCCACGGACTCTCTCTCTCTCTCTCTCTCTCTCTCTCTCTCTCTCTCTCGCTCTCTCCCTCTCGAATAAGAAGGAAGCCACTTTTTGTGCAAGTCCCGCCGCCACTGCCACGCAGCGAAGGAAGAGGTTGGCAGGTCGCGATTGCGCTGGTACGTCAAACGCGAAGCTTGATCCTGCCCAATTATAAGTTATCGGCATTATGCTGGCTCCTTTCGTCCGCAAGAGGTAATACTCAGTATATCTCGGGAAATAGCATTAGTCATGCTTTCCCGTCCTGAGGCTCGTTCGTACCTCGTTGGTTGGAGTGTTGTCTAACGCCATTTGTTTGGTCACGTATTCGTGTATATGCACGCACGCGG